GGGGTCTCACTCTTGCTCAGGCTGGTCATTTTTTGTTTTCCAGGTATAATTCTGCAACGATTTTACATATGTCGTAGGATTATACAAGTAAATACATTAGGCACAAAAATTTTGAATGTAGGATACAAGTATCAAAAATACAACATCAAAAGGCAAGGGAAAACATTTAATGTTAAACTTTAATTGAAAATACCAGTATAAACTCAATTTTAAGAGCTTTTCCTTAAAAATCACCATTTAAGAAATCTTTGTTCCAGCTCTGCCCATTGAAGCACAGTTCATACCAGAAGAAAGGAACATACAGGCCCCAGTACCCAAATCTTAGTTTCCACAAAATGAATCATGATTTCCTTGAGAAATGGCTTATTCCAAGTCTGAGACAAGCAATGTACAAGATGAGCTTGTGCTATCTCATACTAGAGGGAAAGAAATGCTCAAAACTAATGAGATTCCAAAACAATCACCAGAAATGCATGTGCCTTTCCTATACACACATAGCATTAATAAAATTTTATTTCAACTTTTTACCCTTAACTTTGACATGTATCTTCATAGAAATCACTAGAGCTACTTTGAGTCACCTAATATAGTTGCCCCATGCAGATCCATCTTTCATCTCCGTCGACACTTGAGGTATAGCATCTTTTCAATCAATGTAACTAAGATGTGTCACTGGTCATTTCATCCCCAAGACACAAATACTCTTGTGTACCATTAAGTTTTGCCGCCAGGAATGATTACTAATCTGGGTTAAATTGACCTCTTTATTTTCCCCTTTTCCAGATTTTTCAGGTGACCCAGCAGTGACTGAAGTAGTTTCAGGCTGATGTATTCCCTTTTATTTATACACACACACACACACACACACACACACATACATATATGTGGGTATATGTATATGTAGTTCAATGTTAAGTTATAAAGAGTCTAAAAATAAGAGAAAATCTGTATGAACACTCACATAAAGTCACTCTCTTTTCTTGGAATTTTAAGGAAAAAAATCCTTACATTTGCCTCTATGTGGTCAAAAATTAACAGTAGTTTTCTTTTAATCAAAGGAGTGAACAGAATTATTTTCTTATTTACTCCCTACTGAATTCTCTCAATTCTTCATATTAAGTGCAGACTACTTTGAAAATTAAGCCCGTAGGCAATTCTAGTTTTTTTTTAAAAAGAATTTAAAGAGTTCTGAAAATAATTAAGTTACATTATTTACCTGTGTGCTTTCCCTCTCCACTTGTAAGGCTGAGCTGAATCAGGATTTATTTCAATGGCTCTATCACAATCTCGGATGGCAGCATT